TTAACAAAAAAACGAAGTCCAGATGACATGATTCAACCTTTTTTGTTACTGAGAGTGACCTTTCCATTTTGTTATTTTGGATGGGGTAGCCAGTTGAGGTGGCTCGGGCATCTGGTTAGGATGCCTCCTGGATGCCTCCCTGGTGAGGTATTCCAGACATGTCCCACCGGGAGGAGACCCAGAGGAAGACCCAGGACATGCTGGAGGATCTATGTTCCTCAGCTGGCCTGGGAACACCTTGGGATTCCCTTGGAGGAGCTGGCCAAATTGGCTGAGGAGGGAAGTCTGGGCCTTGTTAGGAATAAAATAACCTTTGATGATAAATTGTGGAAAATATAATATCGGTTGGTGAATATAAGGTTTAATTATGAATTACGGAACATAGTTCATATAAAGAAGACTAGAATATGTGTCAGATGTGTAAACTAGGCCATAATAAGCTGATAAATAATATCTTTTTAGTGACTGCTAACTTTTAAAATCAACCATGCCACATTCTGCTGTCAGTAGGAAAATAGTTCCTTATAAGGTCTTTAATGAGAAAACAAAACCATTCAAAGGTTCTTGTTCAGTTTAAATAAGATTAACTATAAAGTTAAATTATATTTCACATCATCTGAGTATGTGTGGGGATTATAAAATAATTAATGATGAGTTAAAAAACAACTTAATAGGTCAGAATAACCGTAGAAGCAATCTAAGACTTGAAAAGGTAACAAAGTATCAAAAGGATAGTCATGTTATGGGGGTAGTAAAGGAAATAATAAGTCATGTCATTGAACCATTTACGTATATTTGTAATCTATCATTCTCAAAAGGTATATTCCCAGACAGAATGAAAATAGCTAAAGTAGTTCCTCTTTTTAAAAATGGTGACAAACGTGTATTTAGTAATTATAGGCCTATATCCTTATTGCCACAATTCTCTAAAATTCTCGAAAAATTGTTTATGACCAGATTAGATACATTCCTTGAAAAAAAAAATATTTTAAGTAACAGTCAATATGGTTTTAGATCAAATTGTTCAACATCCTTAGCTCTTATGGAGTTGATTGAACAAATTATTGCAGCGATTGATAAAAAACAACATTGTATAAGTATATTGGTGGATTTAAAAAAGGCATTTGACAATATTGATCACACTATTCTGCTTGATAAATTAAATCAGTATGGTGTTAGAGGTCTTGCTTTACAGTGGATAAGCAGTTATTTGAGGGATAGAAAGCAGTTTGTTCAGATGGATGATGTAAGATCTAATTTATGCAGAACTTTATGTGGAGTACCACAAGGTTCAGTACTTGGACCTAAATTGTTTTTTTTTATATGTAAATGATTTAATTGAAGTATCTGACATCCTCAAATATGTTTTATTTGCTGACGATACAACGTTTTTCTGTTTGGGTAAAAATATGGAACAGATGTTTGAATTGATAAACAAAGAGATTGTTAAAATACAAGATTGGTTTAAATTAAATAAGTTATCATTAAATGTTGATAAAACTAATTTTATGATATTTAGTAAAAAAAGATAACTTTGGATTTTTCTCTCAAAATTGATGGTACTGAGATATGTAGAGTGAATGAAGTAAAGTTTCTGGGTGTAATTATTGACGATAAACTGTCATGGAAACAGCATATAAATCTTGTAAAAATTAAAATATCTAAGTCAAATGCAGTATTATACAGAGTAAGGGACTTATTAAACAATGATGCTTTATATTTGCTATATAATACACTTGTAGTCCCGCATTTAATTTACTGTGTCACTGTTTGGGGTACGGCATGTAAAACCATAACAAAGCCTATTTTTATTCTGCAAAAAAGAGCTGTAAAAATTATAACAAAAAAGTGTTATTGTCACCCTTCTAATGTTCTGTTTAGTCAATTGAAACTACTTATGTTTTATGATTTGGTGAATTATAATGTTCTTTTATTTATGTTTAAAGCTCAGAATTGCATGCTACCATCAAACATTCAAACATATTTTGTAAAAAGGAAGAGTTGTTATAATTTGAAGGGCATAGATATTTTTGTTAAACCCAGTATAGAACCAGTTTAAAGGGTCGGTCTAATACGATACAGGGAATGATTCTGTGGAATGGTTTGGAAGATGATGCTAAAATGGTGAAGTCAATGTTTATATTTAAGAAAAAGATAAAAACTGTTTTGTTGGAACAATATATATAACTGATTAATATCTATTTTGTTAAGTATGAAATTTTGATGAGTTATGTATTTTGATGTATTATATATGAATGTTTATGTTTAAATTGATGGTTTGAATTGATTTTGTTAATGAGGGAGCAGATATGATAAGAAATTTTCTTCTTCTGCTTCCTTTCATTTTATATTTGTTTTTCTTTAATTTTTTGAAATTGTATTTGTGTTTTTATTGGAAATTAAATGAAATAAATAAATAAATAAATAAATAAGTATCAAAAGGATAGTCAGACTCTTGAAGGGGCAGCTGTGGCTGAGTGGTTAGAGCAGTCGTCCTCCAATGCAAGAGTTGGGGGTTTGAACCCCACAGCAGTCACATGCCGAAGTGTCCCTGGGCAAGACATTGAACCCCTTGTTGCCTCCGATGTGTGTCCCATCGGTGTATGAATGTGATAAATCACTGATTAGTCTCTTTAGAATGATTTGTTCAATTAGCTTTGTAGAGATCTAATAGAGTGCTGTATGAATGGGTAAATGAGGGCACAGATTGTAATGTAAAGCACTTTGAGTATCTCAATAAGATAGAAAGGCGCTATATAAGTACAGTCCATTTACTCTCAGTCATTGTGAGATTATGTGTGTGTGCGCTAAAATTTGTCTAATGGAAAGAGAAATGTGTCATATACTCAGTTGAAAGAGATGACAGCTAATGTGTGCCCAATTGATTGGATAGAAATGTAAAACAGGATGTGTCAGAGGGTGGAGAAAATAGTATGATTCCGTAGTCAATAAATGTGGGAACCGACTTGACACACGTCAGAATTGAATTGTACGAGGGCCCTTGGATATCATTAATATATAAATATTTATATAATTCTCTCTTGTTCACGCATTTTGAAGTCTGTAAAAATAAAGATGTTTAATTCTGACAAAAGTGTGTTCCTTCGGAGCAACAACCCGGGCAGGGGAGAGGAGAAGAGAAGTTTGTTTTCCCTCACAGCCTCCCTACTTTTTTTTTTTTTTTTCCCCCTTGTCCTGTCCGGCATTGTGACAATTAGAATTATTGTCTGAGTGTCAAAGTGATGCCCAACAGATTTACTTTCACAAGCAGAGCATTATGGCTGGCCTTAATGCTCCACTTGATATATAAATTAAATTTTATTAGAATATGCTTTGGGTTTGTTCCAGATGTAATGGACACGGGGACGGAAAACAAAGACGATAACAAAGCAGAAAAGTGAGAGAAGAGTTAAAATGTAAAGAAGGAGACAGGAATAGAGGAGAGAGAGAGAGATAAAGAGAAGACAAATCAACATCATTGAAGTCTGACTCTAGACCTGCGGGAAAAAAAACACACCAAAAAATGACAAAACCGAGAAACCACAACAACAAAAAACATATATAATGATACTTATAACATTATTAGAAAGTGTTTATACATTACATGGTAATACAATATATATTTGATGGCCACCACAACCCAACTGAGTGTGTATCTGATAAACACCTGAATCTAAGCACCTGTGTGAGCATGCATATCACTATAAGGTTTCTCATAAAAATGTTCAATAGTGGATGTGGGGACCCATAAACCCGTCCCCACAGGACACGAAGGTAACACAGGGAAGACCGGAACCACAGACACACAGTGGTCCCCAAGCCCGGAACTCTGGGAGTCCCCAACAGATACACCCGCACCCCCCAGAGAGAGAAGCAAAGGGAAGCCCCGGGCGATCCCCAGCAACCACAATGCAGAAACCCCAGAAGGCTGTAGCGACGAATCAACAGGCCCCGCCAGCAACCCGCCCCTCCAGAGTGGATCTGGCCATGGACACCAAGCCCTGAGTCCTGAGGTCATACCACCCGCCAACAGAGGCCCAACAGAGCCAGGGCACCCAGGCCCCCGCAGGCAGCCACCAGGACAGGCCTGCACACACCCCACCACCCAGCCCCAGCTGCTGAGAGCCGCCAATGCACCGGTGGCAGGGGGGGGCACCACCGGAGGGGAGCACAAATGGGGGGGCCAAAACTGATCCAAGAGAGGGGACCACCTAAAACCCAACCTGAGACAAACAGGCACACAGAGACAGCCCGACAGAGCCTCTGTCGGGCCGTCCATGCACCCCACCCACCCAACAGTGACCGCAAGCCGGCCCCAGGCCCGGAGAGGTCTCGGCATGCCGCCCATGCACCCCCACACACACAGCACCCCCCCACCATGAATGTCACATCAGGCCGACCAGCCAGCACCCTGTCGAAGTGAAGCCACGCTCCTGACAGCCTCCCTACTTACAGTAAGCTGCTACCCCCACCCCCCCATCAATAATCTGGATGTCCAACTGAATCAGCAAAGTTTTTAGAGAGAAGTGCTGCTCCATTTAAGGTGGGATGGATTCCAGCTCTCCGCATCACACTGGGTTTTCTCCAAAATGCTCCCCAGTTGTCTACAAATCCTATGTTGTTTTTAGAAAACCACATGGATGCCCAGCAGTTGAAAGCCAACATACGGCTAAACATTATTGCTGGACAGGTTGGGGAGGGGGCCGGAGAAAACTACGGAGTCAGACATAGTTTTTGCAAAGTTACACAGCGAAGCAACATTAATTTTAGTGATCACTGATTCGCATAGCTGAGTGGCATTTTCGCCGACGTGAATAATGATTTTACTGTATTTAGCCTTGGCTTGAGCCAGTAGTTTCAGGTGGGATTCAATGTTGCCTGATCTGGCCCCTGGAATGCGTTTGACTGTGGTTTGAGTCACAGGTGCCACGTTTCGGACTATGGAGCTGCCAATAACCAGGGTCTGCTCCTTGGCAGGTGTCTCACTAAGCACGGAAAACCGATTCGAAAGTTGAATGGGTCGGTGGTTGACCGAGGTCTTAAGTTATAAAATAGAAAAAAAAAAAAGGCATGAAATAAGAATCAATGTGTTTCCCTTTAAGCCCCATATTCGATACGCACCATCAGTCTTGCAGTTAGTAAATGGGTTGTCTTGGTAGAAGTCAAGTTGGTTTAGAAGGTTTGGGGTAAAATTAGACCCTTCCTCCCTCTTCTCTTCCTCCGTGTTGTTGAGCTCTTCCTGGTCTTCATCTATATCCGATCTGTCCATGTCCTATTACACGTGGGATATCAGAATTTTAGGATTCACAGCCAAAGAGAATACTTTGCGTGAAAACTGATAAGTGCTTGAAATTATTTATCAAAATGTTTAGTCTAATTTCCATGTAATAATGGCAATGTTTTTTTCTAAACCAATGTTTTTTTGTAATAACTTCTGTGGCAACAAAGCTACCTTGGGTGAGCTAGTCCCACTGTCATCCTCTCTGGTACCTGCCAGGTTGTTGCAGAAGGACAAACCAACAGCTCCCTGGTTGAATCAAATACAAAAAACAAAACAGAAATCTGTAAAGACAAAAGCATTGACGATCCACAGTTTTTTCAATGTTACGTCATAATTGGAGCACATACCCAAACATAATGTGACATGTTTATGCAATTGACAATACAGCATGTATTTGAAAGACCCAAGTTCAAAGCCCTATATATTTATTTGCTTTTAAACTAATCAGTGCTACAATTTATTTATCCTAATTATTGCCAAGACATCTGTTCAGAATAAAAATGCTCATATGGAGTCTTACACACCTGCATATAGGAGCACTGACTCCAGCTCAAGTTTTCAATATAAGAGCAGCATAAAAAAGATCATTCCTCACTTTACTGTCCTCTGTTGCGAAGCGAAGAGGGAGAATTAGAAATATGTTCATCTGTTCATGCATGTTGTGAGCTGGATAACTTTAAAAGTGGCGGTACAAACTTTCATTTTGGTGTGTTGATGAATCTAGGTGTAAGAAAGGTTATTTTGAAAAATTGGATTTCCAAGGCCACCTTAGGCCACCCCCTGCCGCTGCTATTGTGCCTGGTGGTGGATAAAATTGCTCCCTCCACTCACCCGGATCTATCACTTTGCTCTGCCTCGAACAAGCAATAAATACATTTTAAAAAACACGTCTACTCCACAGTGCAACGCCTACAGACTTGAATATCTTGAACCAAAACATTAAGGTTTACGTTAATTTCCTGTTCAGTTACAGTCCAGAAAATTTTAATCTCAAAACCTACAAAACATTTATTAATCAAATCCCTCAGTGATGGTAGGGGGGGGGGGGGGGACATCGGCCAGTGACGTGCAGTGAGGCTTGTGACAGGTGAGGCTGACTCATCTGGAATCGGATGCTCACATATATGAACCCAAAATAGAAGCTTATATATCAGTTTAGCCTTTTTTAAAAGGCATCTAATTAGGTATTAATTAAATATACTCTTTTCTTTTTAAATAAAAAAAATATAAAACCTATTATCTTACATTTATTTTAAGATGAATGAGTGTGGAACATTTATGATGATTTTAGAAAAATCCTTTAGTTTTGAGATATGATCTTCTATTTTGTCTAAACAAATTTAAATGAGTGTACGGATTTGCTACACACCCCTGCCCCTCTGTAACAGAAGCACAGTGACTGCACTGCTTCATTGTCACTATGGGGCAGCATTGCCCCCTATTGGTGTGGCAAGGTATATTCTGCCGCACTTCTGTGAATTTTCAGCGTGCATTATGACTGATTAGAAAGAAGAAATATGTCACACACATTCATTCAATAGATTAGACAGACTGTAGAACATCAACATGTGTAGCACATATGTAATCTAACATGTATATTGGTGAAATAAAGAGAGACAGCAATTGGCATGCACCAACTGCCTACTTTATATATTGTATATGACACAGCGCCAGCAGAGGTGAACCAGAGCACTACAATACCTCACCCGGCATTTCTTCCATGTGTTTCAATAAGCAAAGCATAAATTCCACAATTTTGACCACTAACGTGTTGAAAACAGTTTTATAGAACAGTCAAGTGGTTACATGCATTTTCTCTTATCATTATTAGTATTTTACTTGTCATGATGACAGATGAGGCATAGCCTCACCTGCCTCCCCTGACTGCACATCACTGACATTGGCATATTACTTGTTAAACTTGTGGATAATGCATACATTGACAAGAACCAGGTTTAGTGATTCAAACCAGATCACAGACAACAGGAAGGTTTAAAATGTTTATTAATCAATTGTTTCTGGTGGAGGTCCTTGGGCCGGCACAATCCAAAGAGCCAGAAGAGTTCATGAGCAGGAATTCTATGGTAAAAATTCATTTTGTTTTGATGATAGTCACCAACCAAAACTGACAGGTGAGGGATCATTTCCTTGAAGGAGTTGGTTGTGGTGATGTCACCAGTGGTGAAGAGGAAAGCAGCTGAATAAACATTCAGCTGCTCAGTTGTGTCATCATTTCAGGACTCTTGGATTCCCATAGGTGTTATCCTTGGCCATTTCCCGACATCCCTCGAGAATGTTTACAGATCTCACCGGAAGGAACTGATTGATTATTCCATCCTTATCGTCCTTGGACGTTTCACCATTCTCGTTGTCTCCCTCTTGCTGCGGAATGTCTACGTCACTATGTGTTTCTATGTGTTTCTATATGCAAGGTTATTTTTTTTTTAATATTAGTGTTCATTCTCAGCCAAGAAGAAAGAGTTTGATAGGATTTTTTTTATGTCTCCAATTCCTACGTGTCCAGTTTCATTACTTTTTTGTCTTTCTAAACAGATCTCACTTGTAAATGAATCTTCGAGGCTCAATGTGATATATCTGTGTAAATAAAGGTCGAATTAATGAATGAAGATGAACCAACTTTGAAACAGAGCTGAGAAATGAACAGCATTGAGGGAGATCCAAATGGCAGGTCCAGAGAGACAGGCGAGGTTGACACACAGGTGGTCAGAGGCTCGAAGCCAAAGTTGCGATGAAATCCAGAAGTCATGGTAATTATAGAGGAAGTAGAGGTCGTTACCATGAGCAGAGCAGATAATCCAAGACAGACAAGGAGCAAGCAAGGCGAGGAATCCGTGAAACAGACGTGAGGTCAAAACCAGGAAGAGAAACGAGACTGTGGCATGAACGCTGGACATTTACTTACTGTGAGTAAACGTGACGAAAGCAGGGGTTTGACCCTGGAGACGTGGAAGGTTGGGTGCACCTTGAGGGAGCAAGGCAGTTGAAGTCGTACAGCCACTGGGTTAATCACCTTGGCATTGGGAAAGGAGCCCATGAAGCGGGTTGTCAATTTATGAGACTCCACCCTGAGAGGAAGGTCTTTAGCAGAGAGTCAGACCTTCTGGCCCACTGGTAGGGTGGGTTCTGGGAGCGACATTGGTTGGTACCCCTGATTTAGATGGCAGATGTCTTGATGAGAGCTCTTCTGGCTCTCCCCCAGGTCTGCTGGCACCTGAAGGTTGCACTATGGGTAGACAGGACTTATGGGTAGACTGGGGGTGGAAACCAGAGGAGAGGCTTACAGTGTCTGATGGCTGAAGTTACAGCCACACGAAGGGAGTAATGTCTCATCATCACACTGCTACAATAGATTATTGTGTAATTCACCATACTTTTTTGTTTCTTTAAATATAGGATATAATTTCCAGAGTAACAAAGAAATACATGTTTTGTTTAGAATTTATTTACATAATTATATGGCAATGTATGCTAGAATAAGTGCGCAAATTCTTGTTTATAGTGTTGTGTGTTTGATTTGATTTAATCTTTCTGTTTTTTTAAGTTATCTCAGTGCCAGCTGCTCCAGTCCTTCAGGGGAACAAAGAGTTAAAAAAGGGGAGGAGCAAACCTATATGGAGACCTGCAGATTGGGTCATACCACAACTTAGGATCATGAGGAGGAAATGGGATTTCCTTATGTTGGTTTCAGTTAGGTGTTTGTGTGTTTTACCTTTATGTGTCTTTGTGGGCTGATCAGCCAGTATATAAATCTCCCATTTGTCTCATTTACCAAGTTTGTTTGTTTGCGTACAGTTCAGTTATGTTGATCTCTTTTATGGGCCCAATTTTGTGATCTGTTATGATTTATTCAAGTTTTTTGTTTTTGTTTGTTTTGTTTATTTTTGGTTAATTAAAAAATATATATTTTTGGACTTAACCTGTGCCTGACTGTTATTTTACTGCTCAGTCCATCACACAGTGATTCCTAGGAGTGTACAAAACTTCTTCCAAAACTGTGAAATAAATTGGGGGCCACGGTCAGAAACAATGCCTATTGGAAGTCCATGGAGACAAAAAAAAAACCCTCCATTACTATGACCTCCTCCAAATCTTTTGCCAAAGGGAGCTTTTTAAGAGGTAATATGTGAACCATCTTTGAAAAACGGTTCACAATAGTGAGAATGACAGCATTACCAGCATGAGGGGAGGCCTGTGATACAATCCATGGCGATATGAGACCAAGGGCGTGAAGGGATAGGAAGAAGACATAACAGATCTGCAAGTGGGCATCTAGATGTAAATGGACTGTACTTATATAGCGCCTTTCTATCTGATCAAGATACTCAAAGCACTTTACACTACAATCTGTGTTGTCCTTTACCCATTCATACAGCACTCTACTAGATCTCTACAAAGCTAATTCAACAACCCATTCTAAAGAGATTAATCAGTGCTTTATCACATTCATACACCAATGGGATACACATCGGAGGCAATGAGGGGTTCAGTGTCCTGCCCAGGGACACTTCAGCATGTGACTGCTGGTGGATTCGAACCCCCAACTCTTGCATTGGAGGACGACTGCTCTAACCACTCAGCCACAGCTGCCCTAGATGCTTCTAGATGTCTTAGCCTGGCAACATGAGGAGACAAAATCCTTAACATTAACCAGGTCCCTTCACCAGAAATGGGCTCTAACAAGGACCAGGGTCTTGGTTATACCTGGGTGGCAAAACAAACAAGATTGATGGCAGAGTTGGAGTTCCTTATTGACATGGCATGCAGGTACAATATATGGTTCTTGGGACAGTCAGGTGGAGGTGGTTGGGTCTGGTTAACCTGCTTAATCTTCTCCTCAAGATTTAAGATCCAATTTATTGTTGGATGTAACTGGGACCCTGTGTACATAATTTCGCTCCACCACATGCACCACATGAGGTGCGAATGACAATAAAAGTATCTCTGACTCTGACTCAAGCTGAGTGACATAGAGTCGCACATTACTGGAAATAATAAATTCCACCTCTTTGCTGGGTGTGAGGCCGTAATTATCCTCCATCATCCGTGAGAGCGCAACCAGTTTGACGTTCCTGGATCCAGGTCTGTAAGAGAGTGAAGTCGAACTGACAAAAAAACAAGGCCCACCTGGGGGAAAGTCTTTTACCAGTTTAAATATTCCAAGTTTTCATGATCTGTCCAAACCTGAAAAGGCTCTCTGGCACCCTCCAGCCAGTGCCTCCACTCCT